ACCATTGCCCCTTGCCCTATCACTACAGGCCTTGGTAAAAAAAAACCACCACAACAACAAGAAACCCCAAACAAATCTCTCCATCTGTCTTATAAGCCCCCTCTACGTATTGAAAAGCTGCAATAAGGTCACCCTGGAGTCTTCTCCAGGCTGAACAACCCCAACTTTCTCAGCCTTTCTTTGCACGAGAGGGGTTGCAGCCCTGTGACAATTTTCATGGCCCCCTTCTGGAGCCACTTTATCAGGTCCATGTCTGTCTTGCACTGCGAACCCCAGAGCTGGAATTTCAAGAATGACTTGAAATTTTAGGCAACACATTCACCTTCATCTGTCTCACATGAAACCACAGTCATACAGTTTGGAAACGACCTCTGGAGGTCACCTGGTCTAACTCCTGATCAAAGTATGGCCAGCTTGAATTAGGTATATAAAGTCAGTGACACTCATAAAAAAGTAATGTTTCTTCAGCCTACAAAATCACAGAATATCACAGAATAGTAGGGGTTGGAAGGGACCTCTGTGGGTCATCTAGTCCAACCCCCAAAAATGACCATTATCCAAGCTGTGTCCTCGTCACAACAGTCAGACTTGTCACATAGCTGTACTTGTGTTCTGCTGTCCTGCAGCTCAAAGAAAGATCCAGGTATCAGATACAGGTATGGAAGCCCTTTATCTACAAAAAAAAAGAAGTAACTAAAACATGGACTGAAAGTTCACAAATTATGCCTGACCAGTAGAAAAACATGGTGTTCCTGTGTAACGTAAGGCTACATTTCCATGAAATAACTCAAGCTGTTCAGCAGTCTGTTAACAGCTGACAAGGAAAGCTTGACCCCTTCTTGCCTTTCTGGGGTGCATATTTTTAACCTGTCCCCTGAGCCCACCAGAAAACACAGAATAGTCTTCTGCTTACTCAAGCACAATCAGCTAACCAAGAGATCAAATAAACTACATTGTAAGAGTGAACAACCTACCTCTTTAAAGGGGCGAGGGGCTATTAGTTTGGCTCAGTCCACCTCATGGAATTGTGCTGTAGGACATCAGCCATGTCTGCAAACATGAGCTGGATTACTACCTCAAGTAGCCTCGGACTGAACCCTCACAGCAGCTGCCAATTTCATACCACGAAAAAAACACCATCATACCTTCTCCTGATAGCAGAATCCAAAACCCAGGGTATGTTTGTTGCTCCTAAGACCAAGATTCCTTCATTGTCAACACCAACCCCTGTATCAGGACAGAAATCATTTCCCCATTTAGATGATAAACAGAGACTGTTTTAAAATGCTGTCAAAATTTCACGGTGTGGAACTGCAGATCTTTCTAGTGTTCTTATGCAAGCTACACTTAAAATATGTATCTTAATCCCTTTGATTTGATCAGTCAATTCATCTGACTGATTGTGAACACCAAGTGAACTTACCTTGCATCTGGACTAGAAATTCTGTTTTTATCCGTCTAGCAGCCTCGCTTTCGTTTTCACTTCTTGATCCGCAGAGGGAATCTATCTCATCAATGAAGATAATCGAAGGCTTGTTTTCTCTGGCAAGCTGGAACAAGTTTTTCACTAATCTTAAAAAAGGAAAACCAGCTTCAGTTACCTTAATGATTACAGCAGTAAAACCACATAACATTATGATACGGCTGCTTCCTTTAGAGAAAGCTAAAAAAAAGCAAAGCATTAACATAAAGCTACTCAAAGATACAACATTCTTCCAGCTCCAAGACTCTGCACTACACCGAGTGAGACAGCCAGCGTAACACAGGAGGTGAAACACTTTAGTGTATTCCAGGCACAGTTTTGCAAGAAAAAGCCCTTTTTCGGTTTACATTTCTACCAGACAGCCTGGCCTGTACAAAACCACCACTCTAGGGAGATTCACAGAATCACAGAATAGTAGGGGTTGGAAGGGACCTCTGTGGGTCACCCAGTCCAACCCCCTGCCCAAGCAGGGTCACCCAGAGCAGGCTGCACAGGACCTTGTCCAGGCGGGTCTGGAATATCGCCAGAGAAGGAGACTCCACAGCCTCCCTGGGCAGCCTGGGCCAGGGCTCCGTCACCCTCAGAGGGAAGAAGTTCTTCCTCGGGTTCAGCTGGAGCTTCCTGTGCCTCAGTTTGTGCCCATTGCCCCTTGTCCTGTCGCTGGGCACCACTGAAAAGAGTTTGGCCCCATCCTCCTGACACCCACCCTGCAGATATAAGGTCCCCTCTCAGCCTTCTCTTCTCCAGGCTGAACAAGCCCAGCTCCCTCAGCCTCTCCTCATAGGAGAGATGCTCCAGTCCCCTCCTCATCCTCGTAGCCCTCCGCTGGACTCTCTCCAGTAGCTCCTCATCTTTCTTGAACTGGGGAGCCCAGAACTGGACACAATACTCCAGATGGGGCCTCACCAGGGCAGTGTAGAGGGGAAGGAGAACCTCCCTCTTCCTGCTGGCCACACTCTTCTTGATGCACCCCAGGATTCCATTGGCTTTTTTTCAAAAGAACATGGCTTTCTCTTATTTAACATTTGTAACCTACTCAGATTAACTCTAGAGACTTTGTAAGAAAGAACATGTACATTTACTTTATACAACTTTACTAAATACTTTTTATATGACAAGAAAAGTTCGTTTGCCAGAAACCCAGCCCTATCTTACTAACACATTTTACTAAGTTTAAAAGGAAAATAAATAGGAAAATACTGGGAAATCCCTCACATTACCAGCACTAAATCTCAGGCAATAGTCTCAAATGAAGTCAAATATAAAAAAATGCCAAGCTGGACTCCAGTTCTGTAGTCCTTTTGCAACACAAGCAAAGCAGCTTAAGGTTTCCAGCCTTTGGGGAAAGAAACCCAGTTCAAGCACTTTATCTAACGGCCTTTCTTCTCACCCTATTAACTTTAAATAGCGTTGCTCAGTTGTCCCACACTTCAAACTGTTAAAGCATGGTTTTGACAAGTATTCTCATCATATAAAAATCCTTTCTGTACAATAAACCCAGAGCTTTTCCTTAATTCGGGAAATCTACGTTAGAAGCCTGGATGGACAAATTCCTGCACTTCTAGACAGCAGCCAACACGTCACTTCAGGCTTCCTGGTCTTCTTCACTTACTACATCATAACAAAGAGCTGGCATGCGGAGCCATGAACTTTTCTTTCACGGCTTCTCCTGTCCTTCATCCTATTTTTGCAATTCTCTTACGTCTTCCAGGTTTTGTTTGAAATCAGGATAAAGAAAAAACACCTCTGTACGGACAAAAAATGCCACACGTTAATGGCACCACTGCTGAAACACATGAGTGGAGAGGTGCCAAGAGGCAGAGTACCCCAGCCCTTCAGAATGATGCACTGTGCGATCACAGCTGAGTTCAGAAGCTCCATGATGCTCCCGAAATGTTTCTGAGGTAGTTTTTAAAAAATATCTCGAGCACTGAAGAGCACGTCACAGAATCACAGAATGGTCGGGGTTGGCAGGGACCTCTGTGGGTCACCCAGTCCCAACCCTCCTGCTGA